TTTTTGATATTGAATTACTATGTGCTGCCAGATAAAGTAATGTCTTAAAAAATTAATATTTTATTCAATATTTAAAAATATTTCCAATGAACGCTTGACTTAATACTCGAACAACTGATTGCGTGTGTAATTATATTTTAGGAAATTGAAATTGACTGAGAAATTATTAATGCCTAAAGAGCAATGTATTGCTTGGGATAGAAATTTATAAATTTTATTATTACTTAGTTATGAATTTCTTATAAGCTCAAAATTGTTGATATAGTTTCTGTAATGCAAATATTATACTATGTCATATATTTATACCCATGCACTTAACACTAATTATTAATATTTCCATCTATATATATAACAATCTTTATACTCGTATAATAGGTCAGTATAAATAGATATGTAAAACTGTTTCTAGTAAAATGAGAAGCGTGCTAACGTGTGTCTGTCGCTTTGGAAAAGCTTACGTCATAAAACAATTAGCTTAAAGCGATTGCCATTTGTCAAAATAATATTTACTTTATCAGTGAATTTTAATCGGTTGCTGTCAAGCTGAGGGTGTCTACACGTTCGAGTTCCTATTTACTTAAACAGCGATTATGTTTTCATTATTAGCATTTGAAAAGCACTGATTAGTGCGAAACTAATTTAGTGTTAATAGGTTTTTCAAAGGGAATTGAAATGACCGCGAAGATAGTTAAGTTCCTTTCCAATCGAATTTATTTTTTTCTATTTTTATATGCACGAATTTTTGGCATAATACCATTTAACGTGAGATACCAAAACAACCGGATCCGTGTAACTCATAGCTACTGGTATACATGGTGGTGCATCATTTTTCGAACTGTGTGCATGACTATGTTCTTCTGTTGGTCTATATTTTTATGGAAGACTACCGATGATTTCTTCGATGCCTTGAACTTGTTACACAATTGTTCTGTAACAATTTGTTCCATTGGGATTATAGTGATACAGCTTCTATTCATCAAACATTTTATAAACGAGGTTAATACGTTCCTCCAACTCATAAATACAGTGCAAAAAATATCACCTATGAGTAAATTTTACACTGCATATCATTTTGTGCTATTGATGACTAAACTCGTCAGTGTTTTACATGAATTCTCATGCGAATTACCTTCATTACTGAGCTCGTTTAATTTTATTGAATTTGTGATGTTAATTATAAGAACATATCTCATGAATGGTTCCATAATGATATTACATATCTGTTTTTTGGGTTATATTTGCATTGGTTCACTCTATAGTAACATGAACAATTTTATGCGAAATGATTTCTGCTGCAGACTGGAACAGTTGGATAATGATATGAAGAGGTGCACATCGAGTCACACGAAATATTATAAAAAACGTTTAAGAGATATATCTAAGGAATTAAGTGATTGTAGCATGATTTTTGAAAGAATTTATAAAGCTTGTCAGAATTTTCATCGATTGATAGAGTTACCCGTTTGCTATACTTTTTTGTTCAGTTTCGCAACAAGTGCTACTTCGTTATTTTTCACATTTTGGCAGTATCGCCTCACGAATGTATTTCTATGGGGATGTCCTGTGAGTTGCCTTAAGGTATGCACCGATATACTACTGATGACTTTAGCTGCTTATAGTGCTGTAAACAACGGTGAAATGATTAAAAATGTCAACCTTTATACTGTCAACATCAGCGATCGTTATGTTAAATGGCATCACAATGTAAGTTAAAGAAAATATCTAGTATATGTATATTCAAGTAGGTTTTTGCAATTA